CAAGATCAAGAGCTCGTCTCAGTAACCCGTACAACCTTTAAATGAGATTTCGTCTTCAAACTAATTTAGATCTACGTTGTGAGCAAAATTTTATTACTAAAAAAATCTGTTATGCTGGTAAACTAAAGCCAGCCTCTTAACTAAATTCAGGGATGTTTCTTTTTGTTTTCTGTAGATAAACGGAATTAACGTCAGTAACGTTCCAGTGAAATATGCACGTCAAACAGTGAGAAAAGCCAAAAATGTTGTGAGACTTGAAATCAAGAAAGCACCAAAAAGACAGGTGAGGCCGATTTTAAACCGCTTAGAACACTGCTCCTGTTTGTAACGATCAATGTTCACACCTAGGCAGAGTTGTTCGAATCCCCGTTAGCGATTATGCTGGATCAACTACGATCAGGACATATGAGTTGTCATGAAAACTAGCTCTGGAGTTTAGCCAGTCGTCTTTAGAACAAGTCGGCTCTACTCTGATACACAGCCGTTGGCTGTGAAGCAGACTAAGTCGGCCATGAACTGATTTAATCTGGTCAAAGACTTTTTTTAAATTAAAAAAGGGACATAGTGGAACAAAAAAGAATGGCGTTACTGCGTACAAGTGGATGTTCCCGGGCATTCTCTCCTTTTATGCAAGGCTTTTTTCACGTTGTGCCTACCCGTATGGGTATTAACTCCCATGCGGCAGTCATTGAGAAGATAAAAAGGCTGGTATGGCATGTTAAAAATTGCGTGACAGCTAAATCTTGCCTGCCTTGGCTAAATAACTAACAGAAAACCATGAGCAGACTTTTTGAATAGAAACGGATTCTTTCTATTTTCTTTCCGATGGCAGCAAAGAATAAACGAAGCCATTAAAAAAGAATACCAACTTGAGAATCCAATGTTCTGTAACGAGCAAATTGAAGGTAAAAAATAATAGTAAATGCTTTGTTTGTAGTGGAAGTGCACTTAACTCCTCTTGTTAGTTTATAAATAAAGCACCTTTTGTTTTTTTGTTTATAACGAACCATTTCTTCACTCAGCAAATACATTTTCTATGGTCCTTCGGGTTATATGCCGGGGAGGGGGGGCGTGTAGTTCTCAACAAATGTTTTAACGGGGTGGCTCCGCCCCGAGGTTCAACCCCTTACCCTTTTATATACCATTTTTCACGGAAAAGGTACCGATTCCGTATACCTTCTATTGACAAATGGTACCCCTTTCACATACCTTGTTTATAACTTTGTATCCCTTTTAACTACTGTCATGGGCTCCTGCTGCTGTGAATACAGTGTCTTTTAGGAATCAATAGGGACTTTAAGATCCAACGGCGCGACGGCGACAAGAACGTCGCTTAAAAAGTGAATTTGAGTTTTTTCAGTCTTTATAGCGATTATTCCTACCCACTTACTTTATCAATTGTAGGCGAACCCTCCTGAAGCTGAATTTCAAGGGACCATATTCAAGCTCAGAAAGAGAAATAAAATTTCGTCGTTGCTTGTTTACGTCCTCCATAAAACGCAAAATTAGGCATTTTCACGTCGTAGTCGTGCAAAAACAGGAAAGAAATGAACAAAAAAGTGTATTGCACGTGCGAAGTTGTTGTTTTGCTAATTAAACCTATTGTTTTTTTGACGTTCTAGTTGTCGTCCGCGTCGTTGGATCTTAAACTCCCTATT